TATAAAAGAAGAAAAAGAGATTGGGTTTATACCCCGCCCTTCACTACCCAAAGGTGTCTCAGAGCGGCTTACAAACTCCTTTCCCTTCCCCTCCCCACAACAAACACCCTGTGAGGTAGGTGGGGCTCAGAGAGCTCTTGACAGAAACTGCTCTTTTTCAAGAACAGCTCTTATCAGAACTTTTATACCCCGCCCTTCACTACCCAAAGGTGTCTCAGAGCGGCTTACAAACTCCTTTCCCTTCCCCTCCCCACAACAAACACCCTGTGAGGTAGGTGGGGCTCAGAGAGCTCTTGACAGAAACTGCTCTTTTTCAAGAACAGCTCTTATCAGAACTACGGCTTGGCCAAGGTCATCCAGCCAAGTGCAAGTGGAGGAGTGGGGAATCAAACCCGGTTCTCCCAGATTAGCACTTAACCACTACACCAAACTGGCTCACACGTTTTTGTCTTAGCTCAGGAAGAATGGCTCCAGAGCAAATTAATGTATGCAGTAGCCAAATAACTTGCTCACAATTCTAATGCCAGTAGCTCACAAAGTGGAATTTTTGCTCACAGGACTCCACAGCTTAGAGGGAGCATTGCTTACAGCTTTTCTCCTGCCCACAGATATCAGTTCCCAGGCATAAAGTGAATGTTGTGGAAGGAGGACTCCATGGCATTGTACTCCATTGAAATCACTGTTCTCCCCAGATGTGGTGCTCTCATGTATCTCAATGGAGTCCAGGCATTCCAATAAGGTCGCTATCGTGCTGTTTTGGTATTGTGTTATAGAGCTATAGCACTCTTAAAAGAAGGTTAAAAAAAAAGACAGAGATTGCCCGCATGGGCGAAAAAGGATGGGAAAACCTCATCGGAGGAAGTGCTACGGGGGCATTTTACACAGCACCCCGTAGCGCTTCAGGAACAGTATAGAAAATTGAAGACCACTTGGAAGCAGTTTGCAGGTAAAACGGCTCAGGAACGCTTCCTTAACGGGACAGGAGCGCTTGTGTCTGAAAGGGTCAATATATTCTGTTAGGGAACTGTTACTAAAACGGTTCTGTCTGAAATGTCAGTACAGAAACCGTTAGTGAACAGTTCCTGAAACAGAACATATCAGCTGTCTGAAATTCCTCACAGAGTTTGCTTTCCTTTGGCTTTTATTTTAAAACAGTACATTTTGAGACTCTGGATAGTAAAGCTATTCTTGAAAGTGTGCAAGCAATACCTGGTGAAACCTCACAAGCCAAATGGGTTGTTGAATAAGTCCCCCCAGGGGTCTCTGGGAGGGGGTTTCAAGATCCCTGCAAAGCTCTTTGTTCCCTGCCCGTGAGTAGTGAAAGTAACATCAGCTATGCAGAATAGTTTAAAAGGCAGTATCAGTTATACAAAATATGACACAAAGTTGCTTTATTTTTTGCAAAATGTATATCATTTGCAGAAATCTCTCCCGGTCACAGAATTTGCGTTATGTGGGAATGCCAGTTTGGAAATTTCAGCTGATGGAAACCTTTGTCTGGTGTCAACAGAAGAATAGTGTCTAGATCACACAAAGTGATAGTGCCACTTTACTCTGTTTTGGTTAGACCTCACCTAGAGTATTGTGTTCAGTTTGGGGCACCACAATTTAAGAAGGACATAGACAAGCTGGAATGTGTCCAAAGGAGGGCAACGAAAATCGTGAGGGGTCTGGAGACGAAGTCCTATGAGGAAAGGTTGAAAGAGCTGGGTATGTTTTGCCTGGAGAGGAGACGACTGAGAGGTGATATGATAACCATCTTCAAGTATTTGAAGGGCTGTCATATAGAGGATGGTACGGAGTTGTTTTCTGTTGCCCCAGAAGGTCAGACCAGAACCAATGGATTGAAATTAAATCAGAAGAGTTTTTGGCTAAACATTAGGAAGAACTTCCTGAGAGAGCGGTTTCCAGGGAAATACTGATTGCCACTTTGGGGTCAGGCAGCAATTTTTCTCCAGGCCAGTTTGGCTGGGAATCCTGGAGGTTTTTTTGTCACCTTCTGGGCGTGGAACAGCAGCCACTGGGTGTGTGTGTGAGGGGGAGGTATTTTTGAATTTTCTGCATTGTGCAGGGAGTTGGACTACATGACCCTGAAGGTCCCTTCCAACTCTATGATTCTATGATTCTATTTGCAAGTGGGAGTTCACTATGACAACACGGGAGCAATTTGCACTGGAATCCAGGTTTAAGGCACTAGCACTTATCCTATAAAATATTAAATGGTCAACGTCTTGTCTATATCAGCAAGTACCTACAACTCATACGAAGTTCCCTGTGCTTTGGTACATTTTGTTAGTTTTTGTCCTATGATCAGCCATCTTTTTTTTAATCTGAAAGGATACAAATGCTTAACAAATAAAACACTATAGTCAAGCACTTCATAACATTCTAGACTGCTCCAAAATTCGTACAGCTGGGCCTTCACCCTCAACACCCTCCTCTGTCTTCAACATCACGTCTCGTTTGGCTCTAAATTTGGCAGGAGTCCCTGGCTCTTCC